TCTAGAGATGGATTTGTCATTTGTCTTGTTTCCTTCATGTCACTGCTCACAACTTGCATTTTGCCTTCCATTTTCTTTTATTTTTGTTTGTGTGTGTATATTTCTGTCTCCCCCATGAGAAGATGTTTATCCATCTATCCGTGAAGGCATAAAGTGTCTTACTTGTTCATGGTGTATCTACAGAGCTTTACTTAATCTTATATCTCATTTTAGCAACAGCTGAATAAGTGAATGAGGTCTCTTTGCTTGCTAATAATGTAATCCTGGTCAAGTCATTTAAGATTAATGAATCTGTAGATAACATTCAAGTTAGAATTATATACAAATCAAAAAAGATAACTCAGTGGTGAAAAAGATGTTAAATTTTAAATTTATCTGAAACAGCTATCTCCAAATAAAGCATCACAAGCATTACAACTTACTGACTAGGCCAGGTGTGGTGGCTCATGCCTGTAATCCTAGCACTCTGGGAGGCTGAGGCAGGCGGATCGCTCAAGGTTAGCAGTTCAAAACCAGCCTGAGCAGGAGCGGGGCCCCTGTTTCTACTAAAAATAGAAAGAAATTAATTGGCCAACTAAAAAAATATATAGAAAGAACTAGCCAGGCATGGTGGCACATGCCTGTAGTCCCAGCTACTCAGGAGACTGAGGCAGGAGGATTGCCCAGGAGTTTGAGGTTGCTGTGAGCTAGGCTGATGACATGACACTGTAGCCCGGGCAACAGAGTGAGACTCTGTCTCAAAAAAAAAAAAACCTTACTGACTGAGAGAAAAAGTGTTCACACTCATTTAATGGAAACTAAAAAGACTAGTTCCACTTGGGTTATTTTGAGCCAGATATTCTAGATGTCAAGGATAAAAAGATAGGCTGGGCATGGTGGCACATGCCTATGAGCCAGATATTCTAGATGTCAAGGATAAAAAGATAGGCTGGGCATGGTGGCGCATGCCTGTAGTCCCAGCTACTCAGGAGGCTGAGGCAGGAGGATTGCTTAAGCCCAGGAATTTGAGGTTGCTGTGAGCTAGGCTGATGCCACGGCACTCACTCTAGCCTGGGCAACAGAGCGAGACTCTGTCTCAAAAAAAAAAAAAAAAGGATAACAAGATAGACAAGTTTCCTGTTCTCATAGAGCTTAACTTCTAGGGGAGAAAAAGAAGATCAACAAATAAATGTCAGGTGGAGCACTATGTAGATTGAAAATAGATTAATGAGAATGACTTGTGCCTTGCTTCACATCAGATGTCAGGGACAAACTCTCTGGAAAGGTGACATTTAAATTGAATTCAGAATGGTAAGAAGCTGCCAACAATGAGAAGATATGAGCCGGGAGGTGAGAGGCTGAAACATACTGGACCCAGAAGAGGGTGTTAGGAATGAGGATAGAAGGATAGGTGAGAATCAGAATATAAATGGTCCTACAAATCAGAAAAAGGAGTTTAGATTTTTATTCTTAGGTAGAGAAAAGCCTTTGAGGTTTTTGTTTGTTTGTTTGTTCGTTCATGTTTTTTTTTTTTTTTTTTAGACAGAGTCTCGCTTTGTTGCCCAGCTAGAGTGAGTGCCTTGGCGCCAGCCTCGCTCACAGCAACCTCAAACTCCTGGGCTCAAGCGATCCTCCTGCCTCAGCCTCCCAAGTAGCTGGGACTGCAGGCATGTGCCACCATGCCCGGCTAATATTTTCTATCTATATTAGTTGGCCAATTAGTTTCTTTCTATTTATACTACAGATGGGTCTCATTCTTGCTCAGGCTGGTTTCAAACTCCTGACCTCGAGCAATCCGCCCACCTCGTCCTCCCAGAGTGCTAGGATTACAGGCGTGAGCCACCGTGCCCGGCTGCCTTTGGGGTTTTTAAACAGAATGATATGATCACATTTTGAAAAGATCTGTTAAATAGATTTATGCAAAAATGGATTAAAGAGTGGCAAGAATGAAAGCAAGACTAGTTTGAAGGTTATTATTGCACTAGTCAAATTACAGTGATAGGGACTTGGATTAGGGCAGCAGTGAAAATGGAGAGAATCCTTGGAGGTTGACAGCAATTAAAAAAGAAAGAAAAATGGGCCAGGTATGCTGGCTCATCATGCCTGTAATCTTAGCACTCTGGGAGGCCCAGACCGGAGGATCACTTGAGTTCAGGAGTTCAAAACCAGCCTGAGCAAGAAGAGCAAGCCTGGGCATGGTGGCTCACACCTGTAATCCTAGCACTCTGGGAGGCCGAGGCAGGTGGATTGCTCAAGGTCAGCAATTCGAAACTAGCCTGAGCAAGAGCGAGACCCCCATCTCTACTAAAAAAAAAATAGAAACAGTACCCCCATAATATGCCAAAATAAAAAAAATTTAAAAAAATTAAAAAAATAAAAAAAAAAAGAAAATAGAAACAAATTAATTGGCCAACTAAAAATATATAGAAAAAATGATCTGGGCATGGTGGCACATGCCTGCAGTCCCAGCTAAGGCAGAATAATCGCCTGAGCCCAGGAGTTTTTTTTGTTTGGTTGTTTTTTTTTGAGACAGAGTCTTGCTTTGTTGCTCAGGCTAGAGTGAGTGCCATGTGGTCAGCCTAGCTCACAGCAACCTCAAACGAGCCCAGGTGTTTGACTGAGGTTGCTATGAGCTAGCTGACGCCATGGCACTCTAGCCCAGGCAAGAGAGTGAGACTCTGTCTCAAAAAAAAAAACAAAGAAAGAAAAATGGAAATAAGTCAATAGATTGAAGATATATTTTAGACATACAAGACTTTGTTTTGTATTTTTTTCTTTGTTTTGTTTTTATGCATGGAATATTACATTCAGTGCTCAGTTTTACAACCCTCAAATTTTAACTTCCCCACCAACAACCATCACCACATACAAATACAGAAAAACAAGATACCATAAAATGGTGAAAGATCAGGGGAAAACTGAGAGAAGGGAAAAAATGTGTGTTTAAAAAAATATTAAAATTATTATATAGGGCAGAGTGCTGTGCTGGGATGATTCTAGTTCTAAAATAAGACTAAACTATAAGTGCCAAAGAGAAGAAATGAAAAATATTCAACTCCAGAAAAACCGTGGCTATCCATACAAAGAAAAAGAAAATATTTTTACTCCTTTCTACCCTCTGGTGGCTACACATTATCATCCAAAGTCTGTCATTTTTGAAGCCCTGGGTACAATGGCCATTTATCATTCCCTTTAGAAATTCTACTAAAACAAGATTTAACTAAAATGGTGTTGGTTTAAAAAAAAAAACAAAACAAGAAGTCCTCTCTACTTCTTGAAAATTTATTTAATCCTAAAGGCAATATATTAATGAAGGGGTATAATATTTATATTTTCCATACACCTCCCCAGAGCCATCTATACTGGTACTTTACCTGCCCAATCAAGTTTTGATTCTACAGTAAGAGATGCCATAAACAAGCATTGTTCTGCCTTGTCTTTTGCTTTCCTTGCTTATTTGCTTCCTTGCTTGCTCCTGTGTGTTTGTGTGCCCGCTGACATCTAAAATCTATCCTCCCTCTACTAAGTTTTGTTTTTTGTTTTTGTTTTTGTTTTGAGACAGAGTCTCGCTTTGTTGCCCAGGCTAGAGTGAGTGCCCTGGCATCAGCCTATCTCACAGCAACCTCAAACTCCTGGGCTCAAGCAATCCTCCTGCCTCAGCCTCCCGAGTAGCTGGGACTACAGGCATGTGCCACCATGCCCGGCTAATTTTTTCTATATATATTAGTTGGCCAATTAATTTCTTTCTATTTATAGTAGAGACAGGTCTCATTCTTGCTCAGGCTGGTTTCGAACTCCTGACCTCGAGCAATCCGCCTGCCTCGGCCTCCCAGAGTGCTAGGATTATAGGCGTGAGCCACCTCACTCGGCTCCTCTACTAAGTTTTCTGTCCTTTCACGAATTGCTTCCTCTTCAAAATAAGACAATTGCAACCAAAAATGTCTTCTGTTCCTTGTTTCTTTTTCCATCTTAACAGCAGAGGATTCAAACTAGGGAAACTAGTACCTCACTTGGAAATGTGCTCTCTGAAGCACCATTTCAGTCAACCATCTCAAATCCTTTTTGAAACGGTTTTGGATATCCATAAAGACATTTTTGAGGCCACTACTCACCTTTTTACGTTTTGTCCCTTTGCAGGCTTCCCTTCTCTTAGGCATCTTCCTTCCTTTCTACCTCCGGTTGGCCTCAGCAGGGACTGCTCTGTTTCAACTCACCATACTTTGTCACCAATGGCTTTGGATTGAGCCATTCTCGCTCAGAGCTGGACATCACTGAATATCTACGGAGAGGCAGCAACCCAAGCCAGGGCGCAGGTCCTAATGCAAACAGGGCAAAGAACCGCTGTCCAGATTTATAATGTGGGTTGGCATTCTCCGTGAATATTTAATCTTGAGATTACTTAATTTTTAGTATCATCCCTGATAACAGCTTTTTCCAGTCAGGAAACGCTAAATAAATTATCTCTGGAAGGACACGGGAGACCATCCCAGGGGGCAATTTCTGCAACCTCTTTGGGTCACCAGTCCTCCGAGGTTCGGGGTTGGAGCGGAATCAATGAGGAAACTGAATTTAGAAACTATCTCATGGACCTTATTCCAGGACATTTCTGGCCTTAGGCAGTATCTAGAATAGAGATACGGGGTACAAAGTGTGAGTAGGGCTATCCACCGGCTCCTTCCTCCATGAAGCCTAAGTGTTCTTAGGAGGGCCAAGGCCATTTGCAGCCCCTTCAAGAGGAAGACCGAGGGTCCTTCAATAGCCTCGGAGCCTGCCCCTATTAGAGTGTCCCTATCCTTTTTTCAGTATGTTTTCATCAAGGACTCAGGTAAAAGATAGTTTCCGTAAAAATGCCTCCCCCATGGACCCTTCCCCCTACCTCCAGCAGCCCAGCCATCTTCCCTCAGCCCTCAAGTCCCTCGAGACTTAGCCTCCCGCCCGAAGCTCCCCTCCTCCTCTGATTGGTCCTCCCGTGAGCCTTCGGCCAATGGGGATGACGTGTTCGGGCAGACGTAGGTCCGAGGGCTCCCGGGAGGAGGAAGGACGTCGGGCCCCGCGACGCGTGGTGCGCGAGGTGTGTGGTGCGGCCGCGTGGCCTCAGGCCCTCGCTGTCTACACCGCCCATTGCACGCGGGTGCCGGGGCCAGCGGAGGTACAAGGGCGCCAGGGGGTGCCTGCAAAGCCCATACCGCCAGAAGCCGCTGTGAGGGCAAGTCCTCACATCGGGCCTCTGGGATCCCCACGCTCCATTCCCAGAAACCTTCGCGCCGAGAGGTCTCTCTTCAAAGGAGTTGGGCCGGGTGGCCGGAACGTGCGGGGTACAGCTTTGCAGGGGCCTTCCCTGAAGCCGTGCTTTCTCCTCCAACCGCGATTCCCTTGGTTCTGGACAGGGAGGGCAACCGCTCAGGCGTTGGCCCACCTGTGCTGCTTTGCTTAACCTCTCGTCGCGAGGCAGGACATTGGGAGGAAGGAAGCAAGACAGCCTGGACAGAGGACTCAAGCATAGAGAGGACAACAGGAGCAAACCCTACTGCAAAGTTATTCCAGGTTGGGTCTGGGGGAAAGGCCAGGCGCTGGTGGATTGGGAAGCTTCCCCAGGGCCCTTGCAACAGCTGCCATTCTCCATCCACATCTCTCTGGCTGGGATCAGTGTTGAGCCTGCCTTTTTTTTAATTTACCTCTCCGCTCTTTTCTTTCCTGATAGTTTTGACGTGAACTATTTGGACCCTCAGTGCCACCTGACAGAAAACTGCATTCCAGGAAAGGAACACAGCTGTGCAGTGAGTGTGGGGGGGGTCTCAGTGCAAAAAAGCTGGACATGTAGTAAGCCTTAAGTCAGAATATCCAGTTTGTTTGGGGGAGGGGTAGAATGCTTAACTATCCTTGTTCCATTGTTAGCAAGGTAATTAAGCAGACAGATAAACTTAGAGGCCACATTCTTTCCCAACTTCCAGGGTCAGTCAGGCTCACTTTGGTCAAGTACTTCAGAGCCCAGGGTGGCAATGTCTTCCTTATTTCTGTGAGAGACCTTCCCATTAGATCCAAAGGCTTCTCCTCTTTATTGTGCACCCTCTGCTGGTTAGTGTGATAGAGTGAACTCAGAGAAAAGAAGATGCATATGACTTCCTAGAGATAATTTTATACCAAGTCTGTTTCTTTCAAAATGTAAAACTGAAAATTATACCTATGGAACTTGAATGTGGTGCTTAGAAAGAATATGAGTAGTCCGCACTGTAGCAGTTGAGTCTCAATGGTAATGTGAATGAGGAAAGTTGAAGGAGGATAGTAATAATAATAATAATAGCTACCATTTGGGGGTGGGTAATTATTTTGTGCTAGATAGTCACTGTGCTAAGCAATTTTACCTGCATTGACTCATTTAATCTTCAAAACAGCCCTAAGAGGTAAGTACATCATTCCCATTTCATGGATGAGGAAAATACTCAGAGAAGTTAAGTCACCTGCATGAGATTATATAGCTAGACTAATCAACAGAGCTGAGATTCAAGCCTAGGCTTATCTCTGAGCTCCCACATGTAACCACTATGATGATTTTCTTTCTTGAGATACCCTTGGCACAATTTCTAGGCTGCTGTTTCCTCAACTCATACTGTCATCTCTCACTTTCAAAATTTCCCTGCCATTTCAAAGACAAAAAAACAAATTAGTTATAACTGCACCTCTGAAATGTATTATCTCATCTACAGGAATCTGATCCGTGAAACCTAGGTTTTTTAAGAGACTACCAACATGTGCTCTCCTGCCAGTCCCAAAATCCTATACAGGAACCCCCGGTTCCTCCGGTTAGCTTTTCTGCAACTTCATCACCAGCAGCAGAGTGGTGTGTTCTGTGATGTCCTTCTGCAGGCAGAAGGTAAGAGACTGGCAGGAGCTCAACTGAAAACTCACCATAGAATATGATAAAATGAGTTTAGAGACAGGGAGTGAAGGACACAACCAGGAAAATGTTACTGCCTTTGATTACTGGGAACTGTTTGATAAAGAGCTATTTGTTTCTAGGACAGTTACTGTTTTCAAAGGTGAAATTGTGACTATGCCTCTTTCTTTTAAAAAAATGAAACTAATTGTAAAATTTTGTAAGCACAGAATTTTTTTTTTTTAAACAGAGTCTCCGTTGCCTGGGCTAGAGTGCTGTGGGTCAGCCTAGCTCAGAGCAACCTCAAACTCCTGGGCTCAAGCAATCCTCCTGCCTCAGCCTCCCAAGTAGCTGGGACTACAGGTATGCGCCACCATGCCTGGCTAATTTTTTCTATATGTTTTTAGTCATCCAGCTAATTTTTGTCTATTTTTAGTAGAGATGGGGTCTTGCTCTTGCTCAGGCTTGTCTCAAACTCCTGAGCTCAAAGGATTCTTTGGCCTCGGCATCCCAGAGTGCCAGGATTATAGGCGTGAGCCACCGTGCCCGGCCAAACACAGAAATTTTATAAAACATGGATAATATTCTGGCCAGAAGTGGTAGCTCACGCCTGTAATCCTAGCATTCTGGGAGGCTGAGGCAGGAGGATCACTTGAGGTGGGGAGTTCAAGACCAACCTGAGCAAGAGCAAGACCTCATCTCTACTAAAAATAGAAAACTTAGCAGAGTGATTAAAAATAGAAAAAAATTAGCCAGGCATGGTAGCACTACATCTGTAGTTCCAGTTACTTGGAAGGCTGAGCCATGAGGATCTCTTAAGCCCAAGAGTTTGAGGTTGCTGTGAGCTAGGGTGATGCCACGGCAGTGTAGCCTGGATGATAGAGCATGACCCTATCTCAAACAGAAAAAAAAAAAAAAAAATGGATAATATTCTAATGGGATGATCAAGAAGATTGAGTTAACATATGTTAAGTACTTAGAACAGTGCTTTTAATATACTAACCACAGTGTGTTTTAGATGATACATTACATATTTTCCTGTTTTCTTGCCAAGCTATTGCTTTTCTTTATCTCATATTGATGATTTTTGTTGTTTACTATTAGAACTAAAAATGTATAGTTTATTTCCACCCTTTCCCTTCACATTGCAAATGTTAAGTCAGGATGAAGTAGACTCTGGTATAATGTAAAAGGCCCAAGATTAGGAGTCAGAGGCCCAGAATTTCCTAGCTTTGTTACTTAGTAAGTATCAAATAGGGCAAGGAACTTCATTTCTCTGGGGCTCAGTTTCTTTGTTTATAAAAAAAGATTATGACAACCAACATTGTTGGTTTGCAGAGTGCATATAGTGCAGTGTCTTACTTGATTCTAACAGCCTTGCAAAATAAGTAATGGTTATACGGTTCCAGTTCCACAGATTAGTGAAGGAGCTGAGATTGATTCTTTAATTCAAAATAAACAAAAAAGTATCAGTTGCCTTTTGTATGCTAAACATTGTGCCAGCTTAGGCATACAGTATTTATTAGGATAAAATCTCTGTTCTTAAGGAAATCTTATAAGGGGGAGACATTCAAATGTCCCATGTGTTCAGTATATTAAAAATATAACTGGGTAAGTGTAGGCTGATTTAGCATAAAAGAGGAGCATCCTTCACAGACTTGGGGAGGCTGGGGAACAAGGGTTAGGGAACTTTTCTTGGAGGAAATAACCCCTTAGGTGGGATCTGAAGGACAAACAGAAGTAAGAGGAAGTAGAGAAAGATTTTTCCAGGTGGAGAGAACAACATGTGCAGAGGTTCAGAGATGTGACCAGGGTTTTGTTCTCTTAGTGAGGTCATATAATTGTTCATTATGGCTAGAGCACAGACCATAAGAGGTATACTGGCCAGAGAAGAATAGAAAAATCAGCGATCATGTTAGGTCTGAAGTATCATGCAAAGAAAGTAGGTCTTTGGCCAGACATGGTGGCTCACACCTGTAATACTAGGTCTCTGGAAGGCTGAGACAGAAGTATTGGTTGAGGTTAGGACTTTAAGACCAGCCTGACCAAGAGCAACACCCGGTCTCTACTAAAAATAGAAAAAATTAGCTGGGTGTCATGGTGTGCACCTGTAGTTGCAGCTACTCGGGAGGCTGAGGCAGGAGGATCCCTTGAGCCCAAGAGTTTGAGGTTGTTGTGAGCTCAGCTGATGCCATCGCGCTCTACTCAGGGCAACAGTGAGAATCTGTCTCAAAAAAAAAAAAAAAAAGAGAGAGAAAGTAGATCTTGTTCACAGGACACAGGGAAACATATTGAACACTTTTAAGCAAGAGGTCATGATCAGATACCTGCTTTAGAAACAATACTCAGGATGCATTAAGAATTACTGGATGGTTATTGAGCCCAGATAGGAGGCTGTTTTGTAATCCAGAAGAGAGGAGATGGTGGCCTGAACTAAGGCATTGAGAATAGAGAAATAAATAAACTATTGAAGAGAATTTACAAAACTTCCTGAAGTAGTTAAGAAGATAGACTCTATAGCCAGACTCTCCAGGTTCAAATCTTATCCCTTCTAACTTACTATGTAATGTAGGTATGTTACTTAACTATGTCTCAATTTACTCATCTATAATAATAGTAGCTACTTTCAGGGTTGCAGTGAAGATTAAATGAATTAGTACTGATAAAACCCTAAGATCAATAAGACACATAATAAGGACTCAAAAATATTAGCTTTAAAAAAAACCTGATATTCAATTGGATGTGGTAGGTAAGGGAGAGAAAAATCAAAGATGATTTCATGCTTGGACAACAAGGTGAATGTGATACCTTATTTTGAAGCACAAAATAGGGGAGGCTTTGGAGGGTAGGGAATGATGTGTTCATTTTCTGGAAAAGTTGCATTGGAAGTGGTTGTGAGGCATACATGTAGACATGTAGGCTGTGGATGTTTACTGTCTCAGGAAAGATATCTAAGTGGAGGTATGGATCTGGGAGTCAGCAGCAAGCCTTTGGTAATTGAAACCACAGGAGAGACTCAGTGAGATGGCCTGAGAAGTGCTCATAAAATGAGAAGGTGGCTCAAAACAGACTACTGCCTTTTAGGCAGTGGCTAGAGCTCAGCAGAGAACTGAACCGATTGTCCACCTCCAAAGCTCATGCTCCTTCTGTTAGACCACAAGCTGCTTCTATAAAATTTTTTGAACTCTCTTGAATCAATAAAACTTATTCAGCAAGTATTTGATTCTCTACTTTGTCAAGCACTGAATATACCTCAGTGAGCAAGACAGACATTGTCTCTATCCTCAAGAGTTTACGGTCTAGTGAAGGAGAGGGGCAATACAATACAGGAGTGAAGGAGAGGGGCAATTACAATACAGATAGGTGATTGCTATGATAGCTACTGAGTACTTCTCTGTGCCCAGAAGCACTAACCCAGACTTGTGGTGGGGTGAAGGAAGGCTTTCTTAAGGAAGTGATGTCTAAGCTAGATTATGAGGATAAAGAAACGAGTTAGGTAGGCAAAGGTAATGGCAGAAGGTTCCAGGCAGGGAGAAGGAACAAATCTCTCCTTTTACTTGAAGTTCCATAGAAGGAAAATAAGAATGGGCAGGGCAGGAGCGCAGTGGCTCACGCCTGTAATCCCAAAACCTTGGGAGGCCAAGGTGGGAGGATCACTTGAGCCTAGGAGTTCGAGGTTACAGTGACCTATACACTCCAGCCTGGGCGGCAGAGAGAGATCCTGTCTCTAAAAATAAATAAATATGTAAGTAAATATAAATTTAAAAATATATAAATAAAAATAAATAAGGGGCAGTACATTTGGGTAGTTAATGTCTATGCTTAGCCCATGAACATGCCAGTCTACATGAGATAACAAGTGTTTTGATTTCTCTCCAGGTGAAGCAGTCCCAGCCCACTGCTGCATCCTGTCAGCCTGCAGCCCCTTCTTCACAGAACGCCTGGAACGGGAGAGACCAGCTCAGGGTCGGAAGGTGGTGCTGGAGCTGGGGGGCCTAAAGATCAGGACACTTAGGAAGCTGGTGGACTTCCTGTATACCTCAGAGATGGAAGTATCTCGAGAGGAAGCCCAGGATGTGCTTTCTGCTGCCCGTCAGCTCCGTGTATCTGAGCTAGAATCCCTTCAGTTAGAGGGTGGAAAGTTGGTGAAGGCCCCACAGGGCAGAAGATTGAATCGAGAGTGCTTACAACCACCAGCTGCTGCACCAATCTCTGCCAGAGTGGTGGTACCAAACCGCCGCCCTCGAACTCCACTGCCTACTACCCAGACTCCCTGTCCTCTTGGGGCAGTGAGATTGAAGTCCTCAGGAAAGGAGGAGGGGTCCCAGGAGAAAAATAACCGACAGAATGCAGAGAACTTATCTGGTACTCTTCTGCTCAAGAGGAAGGCCAGAACCTGCCCAACTCCACAAGAAAAAAGCTCTTCAGGCCACAGTCAGGGGCCTAAGGACAATAAGAATGACCCTGCTGTTGGTCCTACAGCACTTTCCCCACCTAGCTTGTACCCTTCTGTGGATGAGCGACTATTACCCAGAAAGATCAGGCTAAGTCGCTCAAAGCCATCTCCTGATATCTGTGCATCGAATCCTTCCAGCATTTTAAGTGGACCCAGCTCAGTGCCTGCAGCCCCTGGCCGGCGTCTTTGGCGACAAAGGAGTATAAATAAAGAAGCACCAGAGGACAAGCAGAAACCAGGGAGAGCTAGTCCTCTACAAAGCACTCCAAGCCCATGTGGTCTTGGGAAGACAGGTGGGAACAAGAAGCGGAGCCCTGAAGTCAGGGCACCTAACTCAGACTCTGCAGAAGAGGGGCAGGTTGGGAGAGTGAAACTTCGGAAAATTGTTAACGGGACCTGCTGGGAGGTGGTACAAGAGCCTCCCCTCAAAAACTCTCAAAATAGCCGCCAGATCCCAGAACCTGGAGGAGACTTAGAAGAGCCTTCAGGGACTCAGTCATCCTCACTTAAAGAGCAGGAAGTGTCATCTGCTAGAATAGAACTGTGTCAGGACTCCCCTGTGTGCTCCAGGATACAAGACATTCTGCTTTCTGCTAGCCACTCCCCAGACCACCCAGTGGTAAAGTCCGAGTTTGGGTCCAGTCCAGAGCTGGTAGGGAAGGAACCTGTGTTGGATATCGACTGCAGAGAGCCCTATGCCTTTGATACAGCCCTACTGGGGCAGCCCTGTGAAGCTGAGGAGTATCGAATCACAAGTGCTGCTGCCACCAGTGAGCTGGAAGAGATCCTGGACTTCATGCTTTGTGGCTCAGACATTGAGCCACCTATAGGGTCTCTGGAGAGTCCTGAGGCTGAGGGCTGCAGAACCCCTAGTTACCACCTGACAGAAACAGGAAAGAACTGGATTGAAGGGGAAGAATGGTGTTTGCCAGACCTGGAACTCTGGCCCAGGGAGCTCACAGGATTGGAAAAGGAACCTGTTGATGAGAACAAAGAGCAAATGGAGCCCCTTAGCCCCCTTGTCATGCCCTCTGAGAACAAAGAGCCAGTTGAGCCCCTTAGCCCTCTTGTCATGCCTTCTGAGATGAGTGAAGGAGAGGTGCTTCCAGTGGGAGGCTCTTGGACTCCAGACATTGAAATTACCAGCTCCCAGCCACTGGATGGTCAGGGAGACAAACTTCTCCATGTTGACTCCCTTGACCCTCCCCAAAGGTCTTATGAGGACCTCTCACCTCCCGGCTCAAACTGGGTGGAGACTGGGCTAGAAGTGTCCCTAACTATGGATGAGGTATATCCTGCTACAGGGGCAGGCAAGGAGGTATTTAGTAACTCTGAGCTACTGGGCCCACTTGCCATCAGCTCTGAAGAGGAAGAGATTGATGTGGTGGACTGGACAACAGAGGGGAAGCTAGTTCCCACTAGTATTCCTTCTGTATGGCCTGACCCTTCCTCAGAGTCAGAAACAGAGGTAGATATATTAACGTAGTGGAGGGGGTTAGGGGCCCTGGGCAGGTGGGAAGTGTTGGCTAGCAAAAGGCTTATTGGCAAAGAAGCTAGCACATGCTCTCTCCTCTTAACACAAGAGGCAGGTGTACCCTTGGCTATTTGTAGGTCCCTTCCTCCTCTCCTCAGGCCTTGGGAATCAGGCAGAAGTTAAGGAGTACCATGGGTAGAAAATTATGAACTTGAACCATCTTATTTCTTTGTAATGTTTTCCAGTTAGTGACAAGTGAAACAATAAACTGTGTGGTCCCCAATCCTAGTGAGTCATAGGTAATAGCCAAGGCCAGTCCTCTCAGGTCGTGAGACCTCTAGTCACTGCTAATTCAGGAAAAGCTGAGAACACCTTCTGTGGTGGGGTTCTCTGTAAGAGAAAATGTTCCAGAAGAAGGTATGAAGCAGCGATGGGCAGAACACTAAGTGGGCTGGAGTGATGAAATGTTGTCAGGTACCTAATGTGTGGTGGGGCTTATTCATTGCCAATATGTAAACTCTAGCTAAAACCTCTACAGGGGCCACGAAGATGTACTTCCATCATCACTTCCAAGAAGTGAGTTGAAAAAGATAGAGTTGTTTTTTAAAAAAATAAATGATTTACTCCCATAGTTTTCACAGATATTTCACATGCTTTGCCAGGTCAAATGGCCACCTTGGGCTATAAAAAATACAAGGACCACCAACCACATAAAGCTGGCTTTGTCCATCTCTTAACACACACATTTTACTCTATTACTCAAATAGTTTATTTCAAGTTTTATTAAAAAGTTTGTCCGTCTCTTAACATATAAATTATTACTCAAATACTTTATTTCAACTTTTATTAAAAACAAGCTAAATCCAGTAACTTTTCCAATGCCTTACTAGAGGATTGCCTCACAACTGAACCATCATTTCTGGAGGGGAAGAAACCATGGCTTCAGGCACATGACTGAAGTTTGGCCATGTCCCGTCATAAATGCTCCAACATCACCAGGGACAGAAAGCTGCAATAAAGAGGGGAAAGGAGGTTAGAGAAAGGATCCAGGCAATCAAGGATAGAGGAAGACATTCCTGCCCCACGCCCAACTCACAATCACAGGTGCTGAAAGATTGCATCCCTCCCCCAAATCTCACTCAATACACAAGTGCAGAACAACATGCTAAAGCACTGTATGAAGCAAAGAGAAGGTCAAATCCTTATAACCAGAAGTGACAGTACTGTAGTGAAGTGTTATCCCATGGCACTATTAACGGAAACACACTAGGAACAACGTGTAGGGGTAAGCGTACATGAAAGACTGTCAATAAAAGAAAAATCACTAATTTATACAAATATAAAAACACATGCCAAATATTTTGTTTCAATAAGTGAATTAAAAATTTAGAACTGGTTCAAAAATTGAGTTATCAGAAAGGCAAATTTTCAAACAAATGCAAAACTGGTCCATACCCTCAGGGCAACAATCATCTGCATCTCAAAAGGACACGAATTGCACGTCTATAAAGAATTATTTACATTACCACGAATATTCTACAACTTAGCTCAGAGGCAATTTCAGATGGAGTTGGCAAAGGGCATACAAGATGGGAAATAGTACATGTTTTTAGATACTGTGTGAAATGAGCTGTAACAGCGGTAAGGGCTGCTTTCCAAGTAGCCAAACCAAGATGGAATCCCCTCCTTTCCTAAACTGCCCCCACCTCACCCCCACCTCATTTCAAACCTCAGCATGAGGACTTCTGCCCCAAATTCCCTACAAAAGGTACTTCTTCAACTCTTTCACCACCACTTGAGGCTCAGGAAATTTGAGTTTGCGTGGAGGCCCCTTCTTAATCCCAGTCCAGAGCTCCGCACCTGGGAAAGCACCGAATAAAGCGAAGTTACTTTGGAACCCACAAGCTCCTCTCCAAAATCAGGTGTCCGCGGTTTCGGAGACCAGCGCTTCCTCTCTCTAGATCCCATTCTCCTCTCCCCCCAGACCTGGTCCCCACTCACTGCTGCCGTCCGGGCGCTGCAGCGTCACCTCGAAGCTGCCCCTCCGGGGCTTGGCAGGGTTCACCTTCACTGGAAGCTCCGGGGCCTCCAGGCGCAGCGCCTGGCTCAGGGCCGCGGCGTTGCGCCCATAGACGCGTCAGCTCGTGCTAGAGACGGGGAGATCAGAGACTGGAGCCCGTGGCCTGCGACGCCACTGTCCCCGCTCCCCTGCGACTCTCCAGGCCCCTCACCAATGCTCAATCACGACGGTCGCCTCCTCCACTGCCTCCCCACCGTTCTCCAGCTTCTCCCGCTTCTCGGCCGTCGCGACCACCGAGGCCTCCGCCTTCCTCTTCCTCCCGCGGGGAGCCATGGCGACTAGAGCCCGGCTGGGAGCAGAGCCGACCTGGGATGTGGGAGAGGGGGAACAGGTGGAGACCTGACCACTGAGCAGGAACTGGGCTGCGGCGGCAACCTCAGGACCTCAATCTAGAGTCTCCGATCCCAAAGCGGAAACTCCCCAACAAGCGGAAAGCATGGTCCGCAACGCCCACGTGGCCTGGAGGAGGGACCTCCGGGCACAACCACTCTGCGCGCAGGGAGGAGGAGCGCCGGACCAAACCATCAAGCGGGTGTGCCTCGCTTCAGGCTTTTCTGTACCTACGCTTCGTGCCCTCCCCGCAAACCCTACTCCCTGGGATCCACGGACTCGGACTCGTGCCAAACTAAATCCACAACCTAACTCCGTGCAGTCTATAAATTACCCCACTTGCTAATCCTGGAGATCAATGCCGGGCATTTGGTGAAACAAAATACGTTGACCTTTGACACTAAGAAAGAAAATGAGCTATTCCTCTGCAGTGGCATGGTTGTTTCTTTTCTTTCTTTTTTTTTGAGATATGGTCTCACTCTGTTGCCTAGGCTAGGGCAGCGGTCTCCAACCTTTTTGGCACCAGGGATCCGTTTCATGCAAGACAATTTTCCATGAACTGGGGCTGGGGAGGTGGTTTCCGGATGATTCAGGAACATTATATTTATTGTACAAACCTCTCTTCTAATGATAATCTGTATTTGCAGCCGTTCCCCAGCGCTAACATCACTGCCTCAGCTCCGCCTCAGATCTTCAGGCATTAGATTCTCACAAGGAGCCCTCAACCCAGATCCCTCATGTGTACAGTTTAAAAGTAGGGTTCGAGCTCCTATGAGAATAGAACGCCACCACTGAACTCACAGGAGGCAAGCTCAGGAGGTGATGTGAGTGATGGGGAGCAGCTGTAAATACAGATGAAGCTTCCCTTGCTCACCCACCCATGGTTCACCTCCTGCTGTGCAGCCCAGCTCCTAATAGGCCAAGGATTGGTAATCTGCAGCCTGCCTGTGGATTGGGGACCACAGGGCTAGAGTGTAGTGGCTTATCATAGCTCACTGGATTCTCTGACTCCTGGACTCAAGCCATGCCCCTGCCTCAGCCTCTCAAGTAGCTGAGGCTACAGGCCAGTCTGGCACCACCATACCTGTAGTCCCAGGTAATTTTTTTCTTCTCCCTACCTAGCTCAGGTTGGTCTGGAACTCCTGGTTTCAAGCCATCCTACCTCAGCCTCCCAAAGTGCCTCTGGCTTTATACACAAGAGAAACACACCAAGGCACAATCAAAAGGAAATCCCAGTCTCTTTATTATGGAAAACCATCAACTGGGTGTGGGGAATAGATAGGAGGGTTAGTAAAACCCCAATTCAGTCCAGGGGCTTTCTCCTCTAGGTGACAACACACAAAGGAACATCTCAAGCCTCTATTACCCTTCCTCTGAATCCCCACAAAATAAGGGGATTGTCCAATACTGTCTTCAATGATAAAAACTCTGTGGTTAGAGGTTTCTCCTTAGGACCAGTGACAAAGTTAGGCTTATACTTTGAATGAAGGCCATAAGCCAAGCAAGAAGAGCCCAAGGAAACAAGGGTCCTTGAAGGAAAATTCTTAGCATTCTATACCCCAGCATCTTACCTTGGGTTTTTAATCTAGATCTAACTAGGCTGTGCCGGTCCACCAAGAGGACTAATGAAACCACAGAGTGGCAGAGATGTCTAAGTGGTTGACAGTAGTTAGCACACTGACCCAAGTTTGAAGGGAAACCATTTCCTCCTCCATCATATGAGATCTCTCCCTTCCTCCAGCAAAACGGTTGGCTACAGCAGGGCAGGCCTTCCTGTAGGGTGCCTAACAATTCCCTGGATGCCTCTTTAAAATCAGAAGCAGTACCTTGCCCCACCCAGGAACAGCAAAACAAGGAAAATATAAATAAAAGGCCAAGGCTTCAGGCTTGTGGTTTTAGAAGAAGCAAGGCCTCAAAGGAGCCTGGAATTGATAAGAGAGGAAGCACTGACAAGGCAGGGATCCTATTTGTCCTTCTTGTTTTCCCCATCTGGCACTGTGGTGGGAGTTGGGGCCACAGGCTGCTCCTCGGGGATACTGTCTCCAGCCTTTGATAGCTTCTTGGCCCGCTGGTATAGCTCATTCAAGTTGAATTCTCGGATCACATTCTCCTGTACAAAAGAGATGCACACATCAGGATCTGGGGTGGGAAGGAGAGAGTTCAGAGCCTAGGAAGTTAAGAAATATTTAGACAAAGTCTAGGAAAGAAGGGATAAGCAAAGGACAGAAACGTGCCCTAACCTAGCAATCCTCATTTTTAGGTACCCAGAAAAGTCAACTAATATTTAAGTGCCCATGAAGTATCAATCACTGTGCCTAGAATTATACCTACATTATTTAATGTAGTCTACAGAACAATCCTGTGAGCCAAATGTTACTGTCTCCAATTTACCAACGAAGAACCTAATGCCTACAAACTATATGTGCAGCGGCCTTAGAGACTGAGGTTGAACTAATAATTCTTCCCCAATGCTAGAAGGCCTGGCATATAAATTTGCTAGGTGAATAAATGAGGTCTCTCAAAGCTGGTGTGCAAGTGGCAGAGCTATGAATCAAACCCAGGATGGGCTCCAAAGCCCATTCACTGTTCCATACCCTCCTCCAAACCACATGCCCATCCTTTCAGGTACCTCAGAGAAGGTCCAAGAGACAGCTCTTCCTTTCTTGTCAATCTGTGGTCGCCGCATTACTTCTTTGCCACCTTGGAACAGGATCAGGGTAGGGAGTTGCTTGGTGAGTGGTGATGTGCTGACTTTGTACCTAGAGGGCCCAGAAAGAACTCTGTAAATGCACCTATGTACATCACTCAAAGTGATTCCCTGCTCAGACCCTCTGCCCAGGTCTTTACATACCGTGTACTAACATCAGTGTAGCGTCCAACGTCCACCTTCCCAAAATTTAGCCCTGTACAGTTGTACCTGAGAAGAATATATTATTTACCATACCAAAAGAAGAAAGAATGAATCAAGGGAAATAGAAATGTAGATATCTTGGGATGGGAGGAGAAAATGCCCTTGGTTATCATGTGCAAAATTCAAGGCCCAAAACGGAAAAGGAATACAAAGCTTCTCAATTCCCATCATCCCTCCCTTTGCACTACTCACTTGAGGGAGAGGTCAGCATAGATAGGAGCAAATGATTGGCAGTCATTAGACCAATTGGCAAAGAACTCCACAATCCAAGTGACCCTCTTGTCCCGCTCCAGTTCCTCCTGCCACACACAGGGAAGAAAAGTGAGCTAGATCACTGAGGTTCCTGGGAAAGTTCATACTTTAGCATCTAATTCCTTTTCTTGGCTTCCCCTCTCCCTCAGCTCCCATATAAACCACAGTGCCCTTGACTACCATTGGGAAACACTATTGTTCCTCCTAGTGAGCAGAAAGCACAGTTACAAAATCACCCAATAGGGATCCAAGAAACAGAAGGGAGGAAGAGCACTCACATCAATTGTTTTATCATTGAAGTACTTGATGTATTCAGGGCCCATGTACAGGGGCGGTTTGCAAGTCATCAGGAACACTAAACATAGAAGATGTAAGAGGAAACACATAAGACCTTCTGCTGGGGATTTACTTCCAAGCCAATTCAAGGATTTCAGCCGCCGAAGAATACACACTTGTAGACCACTAACACATTCCCTTCCTCTTAAAATACAGTCTCTCTGTAGATTCTTATCATCTGAGCTAAACACATAATTAATTAGATGCAAAATATAGAAGAGTATGGAGAAATCTGTTTGGGATTGGAACTTGGTTCCCAAAATCAAGTCTTCATCAACACAGTCTTACGAAGAATCTGCAGAAAGGCAGTCTCCTCACCTATGCAGAGTGTGATATAAAGCAGACCCATGCGAATGTCCAGGCGGAAGAAAAGAATTGCGTTGGCCACTTTACTAAACATGAAGATGTTGCCTATATGTTGCTCCACGGTGACTGAAACACAGAGATGTCACAGGTCAGGCTTGCTGCACATTCTTAAATCCTATACTTTGTCCCTCTTCTTGGGGCACTTTGACATGGGAGAGGACAGAAGTCCAAGATCAAATTAAGCTTTGGCATGAAATGTGGGACCAGTTCACCAAATAATGCCCCTCTCTCATAACATGAAGAAAAGCACCTCCAGAGGGCGGTAGACCTCACCCTGAGAGACTGGCAACTAGGCAAAACTTACTGGATCTGCGATTCTTCATCATCACAATGGCACTGAGAAACATCAGTATCTCCACTTCTCTCTGGAATAGAATCAAAGTGACAAGAATGTAGTGAATAGAGCTAATTTGGATGGGTAGGAGAACCAAATATAAATTAAAAACCAAGAGATCCAAACTGGGAATGGTAACAATGGTAAAAAATAACTGAAGTGAGCTAAGGTGTACTGGGATAAACACCAGCCAGAAGACCTAGGTTCAGGTTCTACCCCTGCCACAAACCAGCTGGTGTCCTTCAGTAAATAAATCACTTAATCCCTGAGCTTTGGTTTCCTGCCTTAATAGTATCTATTTTGAAATGCTACTGTGAGGATTAAAAGAGATAGTGGATTAAAAAAAAAAGGGTTGGACCGGGCGAGGTGGCTCACACCTGTAATCCTAGCACTCTGGGAGGCCGAGGCAGATGGATTGCTCGAGGTTAGGAGTTTGAAACCAGCCTGAGCAAGAGCGAGACCCGTCTCTACTATAAATAAAAAAACTAGCCAGGCATGGTGGCTCATGCCTGTAGTCCCAGCTACCCGGGAGGCTGAGGCAGAAGGATTGCTTGAGCCTAGGAGTTTGAGGTTGCTGTGAGCTATGCCGACGCCATGGCACTCTAGCCTGGGCAACAAAGCGAGACTCTGTCTAAAAAAAAAAAAAAAAAAAAGGGTTGTAAAAATTATGCAATGGTATAAACCCAAATGTATTATTATAATCAATTCAGTGTGACCCTGGTAAAATAAAACTTTTCTCAGGAAGTTTTCTCAATAATAATCCATTAAGATAATACTTGGCTATTTCATTTGTTTAGTTTTGTTAGTTAGTTAGTCATTCCTCTCCACCCAACATTCATAGTGATAATCCATGCACCTTTGATATAATCTGAGAGCTGAAGTGGGCTTTCAGAGCTCTCAAAGGTCCTTTTCAGGACTGTTGGCTTACAGTTCTTTCTCACCTTCCAGAACATAAGCACCATGTGAGCAAGAGAGACAGGCAATAAACATGACAAAGACAAGAACAAGATAATTTCAAAGAGTAATGACTAATGAAGAAAAACTATCATCATTTGAGAGAAAGCATGGGGTGAGAGGGAGACTACAGTTTAGATGGATACCCTTCTGTTTACAATACAGTGGGCCAACTTATTTCAGACAAACTAATCAAATGCCATTTATAGCTAGGAGCCAGGGACCTAGGTTTTTAGCCTCAAGCTCCAACAAAATATTAGATTTGGATACACACATGTAAAGCAGGGTGACAGAATGTGACAGACCTTAGTAAATATACCTGAAGCAGAAATTAGGAAGGGTTTCATGAGTGAAACTGGGTAGGTTAGAATTGGGACTTAACATTGTGGAAAGATGAATTTAAAAAGGGGACTGTGGTCAATCAGGAGACCAAATATAGGACCAAAAGGAACACTGTCCAAAGACAGAAAATGGATCGTAAGCAAAGACTGGCTATCTATACTCCAAATCTTACTTCCTTTTCTTCTTGGGCATACTGTAGCTAGTCTCTCTCTCTACCAGCCTTCTTGCATCCAGGTAGAACTATGACTAGTACTCCTGAATGGAATGTAAGTGGAAGTGATTTGCCACTTCTGGGCCCAGGCAATTAAGAAAGAGTATTCCCTGCATTCCAACGTTCTTTTGCCAAGTATCCAGCTAGATGATGTTGGGATGACATAAGGCTATAAGTTGAAGACAGAATGAGACTGGATGCCAGAATGACTGTACAAAGAGTCCCTTTGGTCGGTTGTTAGTTGTTTTAAGACTTTTTATTATGGAGAATTTCAAACATACACAAAAGTAGAGGATATGTTAATGAATCCCTATTACCCAGCTTCGACATTAACCAACAGTTATATGTGCCCAGGAATTTATCCATTTCTTCTAGTCTTTCCAATTTGCTAGCATACATTTGTTCATAATAATCTCCAATGATTCTTTGTGTTTCTGTGGTATATCAATTTTACTTATCTTTTCAAAAGACCAACTTTTCATTGCTATTCTGTATTTTTATTTTAGTCTCTATTTTACTTCATTCTGCTCTGTTCTTTAGTATTTCTTTCCTTCTACTAATTTGTGTTTGGTTTGTTCTTGCTTTTCTAGCACCTTGAAGCACATCCTTAGATTGTTTATTTGAAATCTTTCTACTTTTTTTTTCTTTTTTAGTTCAGATCTAATCTAGCAGGACTGAAATCTTTTTACTTTTTTGATATAGGTATTATTGCTATAAATTTCTCTGATCACTGTTTTTGCTATTTCCCACAGGTTTTAGTATGTTGTATAGGGAAAGACTTTTCCTTGTAGGTGTATCTAGTGTTGGTTGGGTAGGGTGCTATGGCTTTGAATCTAGGTGGGCACAATAGTGTATTCTCAGTAGGATTTCTTTGGCTGCAGTCCACTTTAGTGGTATCGGTGAGTTCCTCAGTGGCTTATGTGTAGTTCATAGTGGAAGCTGTGGTGAGGCTCTGCTAGGAATGGGAACACTAGCCAGATCAGACTTTGCGCATCAGTGGCTGCAGTAGCAGATCAGGCAGGCCAGTCCTTGGGCCTTGTAGTGACATAAATGGGCAACAATTGTGGTGGTGGGGTGCCCAGATGAGCCAGTCCTCAGGCCTCCAGGTAGCATGGTCAGACACTGGCAGTGACAGTGGCAAGTGAGGCATGCAGGTCCTCAGGCTCTTGGGTGGTACATGTGGCAGCAGTGGCAATGCACTAGCCCTCAATCCCAGGGCAGTGTGTGTGGGCACCATCAGTGGTGAAAGTAGGGTGGGTGGGCCTGGCACAAATTTTCAGTGAAATGGTATATATCCACCTGATCCCCCACTACCTCCCACTTGACCAGAAATTCAACTGATAAAAATATTGGATAAACATAGAAAACATTCAAGAAACTTTGGACAAATAATAGGGATCTATAAAGATTGCATTTTCTATTAATCCTGACTCATTTTTCCTAACTCGCTTATAAAATTCAGTCAGAAAAAGATAAAAAGAAAGTATTCATTTTGAGTCCCTTTTTTATTTGAGAAACTTAAAGCAAATTCTAGCTATATAATTTCAACCATAAACACTTCAGCATATATCTCTTACACATAAGAACTTGTTTAAGAGATGGGGTCTTGCAATGCTGCCTAGGCTGCAGTATAGTGGCTATTCACAGGTGATGCTGAACTTAGTGCAGATACCTGATTGGCATAATGCATACAGCCCAGAATTTCCACAATCAAGCGATCTTCTCACCTCATCCTCCCAAGTAACTGGGACTACAGGCACTCACCACTATGCCTAGCAGGACCTTTTCTTTAAAGCACAACCATAATACCATTATCACACTGTTATGCTGTGAAATATATACAGTCACCTGCTACATAACAACTTTTCAGTCAATGAAAGACCACATATACAATGGTGGTCCCATTAAGATTATAATACTGTATTTTTACTGTACCTTTTCTATGTTTAGATACACATATATGTACTATTGTGTTATAATTGCCTACAGTATTCAGTAAAGTAACATGCTGTACAGGTTTGTAAGCTACACCATAGGCTATACCATACAGCCTAGGTGTGTAGTTGGCCATCTAGGTTCGTGTAAGTACACTCTATAATGCTCACACAATGACTCTAAGGCCCAAGGACCTACATTTCTCAGAACTATCCTCAGCTGTCCATGGCTGTATATGGTCTTTGTCCAGTTTCCTGACAAACAGCTCCCAAAGTCCTTGGAATCTCTGGAGCGGTAAGAATGTCTTTTATGTGCTGAAATGACTTGTGGGTGGCAGCCCCTAGCTAGCTTCAGGATAGGGACTGGTCACAGGAAAGACCAAGGCATGAAGAGCAGTGAAGGTTAACCCACCTGCTCATCAACAGTCAATGATTTAATCAACCACACTTATGTAATAAAGCTTCCATAAAAATCCAAAAGGCCTCTAGGAGTCCTGGAAATTCCAGGAGCTTCAAGGTGGCATAGACAGAGAGGGCATAGAAGCTCTGCACCTCTTTCCACATAACCTTGGCCTATGCATCTCTTCATCTGTATCCTTTATATTAAATTGGTAAATTTAAGTGGTATTTCCCTGAGTTCTATGAGCTACTCTAGCAAATTAGTAGAACCTAAAGAAGGCACAGCAGGAACCCCATGCCTGATCAGTCAGAAGTAGAGATGATAATCTATTTCAGTTCGTGTCTGAAGTAGGAATAGTCTTGTGGGATTAAGCCCTCAAGGTCTGGAATCTGAAGCCATCTCCAAGTAGATAGTTGGTGAAATCTCCACATACTTCTTGATGACCAGAGGTCACAGGAAGTATTCTGTGTTATGAGATTACAGTAAGAGGAACTGAGTTTGCTTTTTCCTATATCACATACATACTTAACACAATTAACAGTAATTCCTTACTATCATGTAATACTTAGTCCTTATTCAAATGATCCCAATTGTCTTTGATCCAAAATGTCTTTGTACAGCTGTTTGTTCAAATCAGGATGCAAGCAAGATCCAGATATTGCACTTGGTTGATGTATTTCTTTGGTCTTCTTTAGTCTCTAATGGATACCTATTCTTCCTTTTTACCCTAGGTTACTTATCTGTTGAAGATGCTGAGTTTCACACTGTTAGCTTTCCCACTTTCTGGATTTGGCTGCTTGCATATTCATGGTATGTTCTGATGATGATCCTCTATCTCCTTATTTCTTGTAAAGTGGTAATGAGATCAGGAGGTTTGAATACAATGAAATCTAAATTTTTGGCAAAAATACACCAACGATAGTACTAGGTATGCCCTACAGAATCACTTCAGGAGACACATTAACCTTTTTTTTTTTTTTTTTTTTTTTTTGAGACAGAGCCTCACTGTTGCCCAGGCTAGAGTGAGTGCTGTGGCGTCAGCCTAGCCCACAGCAACCTCAAACTCCTGGGCTCAAGCAATCCTCCTGCCTCAGCCTCCTGAGTAGCTGGGACTACAGGCGTGCACCACCATGCCCGGCTCATTTTTTCTATATATTTTTAGTTGGCCAATTAATTTCTTTCTATTTTTA